CCAATCAACTCAGAAAACTTTTCAGTAAAGCTCTTCCCCATTCATAACTATTCATTCATACAAAGCTGGCTCTTAACTTGGTGGGGGGGGGGGGGGGCTTTATCTTAGTCTGCTGGTAATAATTAACATTTATAAAGATACATGAACTTTATGAGGGCTTTTTAATTAACTATGGGAGGCAGTGTGATATCCAGAACTTTTGGCTCTATGTTCCATTTTATTCGTACTGAACCATAATGCCACATTGTCTTTTGTGCGACTTCTTAAACTTTCAAGGCATGTTGTTAGAGAGAAACCAATAGACTTTTTTCACACCCGGGTCTGTATAGCTACTAAGACGTTAGTGATCAGCTGTGGTGGGTGATGGCAACTGCACCACCAGCTCCAAAGGTGTACAAGTGGGAGTTTGGTAGGGAAGGAAGACGGGCCCAGTGAGTGGGTGCCCACTGCCAGGTGCTGGGTGCTTCATCATCCCGTCCCCCTGCTATGCCAGCCCCTCTTAATGTTTTACGTGAATACTCTGTAAACTGTATGTACCAAATCCTGTAACTATCCCTCAAGTCAAACATTCAACCTTAAGCTTAGTGGCAGAAAAGGTTGCGGGTATTATTCAGTAAGGCCAAGATTGAAGCAAAACATTACAAGCCAAACACATTTTGGAAGTGGACTGCTTTTTGACTTTCGTATATCTCCACTGAGTTCCAAACCTCATTCCCAGGCCACACAATTTAGTTCAATGCTTCTGCTTCGCTTTCACACCACAACCCAACACAATCCGGGTTTTATGACCACTGAAACCATGCACGCAAATACCATCTGTGAGCTATTACCTACCAGACTGAATGCCAGAACCCTATTTCTTGTTGTTCCTCTCTCCAGTCTGTCTTCCACATTCTGGAATTCATATTTCCCAAAGATAGATTCAGCCACTTCTCATTCCTCCTTAAAAAGTACAAATGATTTCCTACCAACCACAGGAAAAAAGTCCAAATTCCTAAGTATGGCTGTTTTCCAAAGCCCTCACTCCATGCCCCAATCCACAGCCCTGGCCTGGTCTCCTGTATCGGCGCTGTGAGCTTGCCTTCTCCAGCGCTCCATGTGTTTTCACTGTATCTGTGGCCTTTTCCCCTGGCTTATGGAAAAGCCTTTTCCCTCAGCATCTATCTTCTGGAATCCTCCTCATCCATAAGAACCGGCTCTAATGCCACCTTTCAAAGCTTCCTCAGATGCTGTCAGGCAGAATTAAACACTCATTCCTCATTCACTTAACATTTTGCTCCTCCACTGAGTACAGTGCTCACAACAAACTTATTGCTAGTTGTTTACAAAGCCACTTCCCACTTTGGTCTGTGGGTTCCCTGGGAGCGGGGACACCAGCACAGTGAGCAGCAGAGAACTGCCCAGAAATGTTTTTAAACACAAGTGGCTGAACATCCCCTCTACTCCTTAACCCTAAACCAAAGTTCACGTGACACACTTCCCGTGGGAAGTGGAATCCCGTGGGAAACCATTCACTAGAGGAAGATGTGAGTGGCGATGCCCCTTGGGATCAGTAACATGGCAGCTCTGCCCCACCTCGCCTACACTCCTTCACCTGACACCTGACAAAGACTGTGCGTGTGTGTATGATTAACAGTTACCTTTTAATTCTGGTACACTCTACCGAAAGTTATTTCCACTATTCAGAAGGAAAAACAGATCCATAGACAATGATAAAACATTTCCTTAATACTAAATGGTAATGCCTATTTAGATCTTTATGCTTATTATTTGCACATGTGTACACTCAAATAGCTTTACTCTTCTTAAGCTGGCTGTTTCTAGTTGCTCAGGCAGCATTTTGTTTTTGCATTTTACTGTAGAACAGTTACATGCTGGAGTTTCCTGGTAGAAAGATAAAGTAGTTAATTACCACTAGTATTAAAGTTTATACTGCACAATGGGCACTAGGGCAATCAGCAATGTTCTAATAACATAGTTGCTCTAGAATCAAACTGGACTTGGCACGAACTCTTGTCATGAATCTTAGAAGTCTACCATTTTGCCACTGGAAGTTCATTTGGATCTTTGCTGGGCATGTGAACAGGAGAAATTAAATAAATATTGATTTTAAAAAGTCATGCTTCTATTAGAAAAGCTTGTTTTTTACTTCTCTATTATTATTTTTAAAACTCAGCTAGGTTAGATATTTCCCTAGCTTACTACATAAGAAACTTACTGAAGCTGTATTATGACAACCCTGTATATATTTACAAATTTAGAAACATTAATATGTAAAATTGTCTTGAATGGAGTCATAGTCAGAAGCAATGGCTGATCCAGAGAAGGCAAAATATCCTGAACGCGAATGTTTAGTAAAGCTCTACATTTAAAAAAAGTAAACATTTATACTGGGATATTAAAAAAGAGCAGGGTAAATGTGTTTAATTAAAGAAAAAGAAGGGAAAAAAAGGAAAGAAACCAAAGGAAAAATATTTAAAATTTATGTCTTACATGGAAATCCCAATTGCTTTGGTAGCAAAAGATAAGCTTTAAAGACAGTTATTCCTAACATAACAAATCAGGTTCTCGTTTCAAAATGAGAAAATCCTAGATCCTAGTTTGAAATCCACCCTAGACTTTCTGAGGCAGTTGACCAAGTCAGATG